CCTCAGTGCAGGAGAGATGTGCATCTGTTAGAGCATGTCTGGGGAAGGGCCACAGAAATGCTCGTAGGGATGGACGCTTTCCCCAGGAGCACAGGCTGAGAGAGCTGGGGCTGTTCAGCATGGAGAAGAGAAGGCTGAGGGGAGACCTGAGAGCGGTCTTTTAATGTCTGATGGGGGGCTATGAGAAAGAAGGGGACAGAGTCTTCAGCAGAGTCTGTTGAAATGGGACAAGGGGAAGCAGCTCCAAACTGAAAGAGGGGAGATTTAAATTGGATATAAGGAAAAGGCTTGTTCTGTTCTGTTTTGTTTTGCTTTACGATGAGGATCTTGAAGCACTGCCACACGTTGCCCAGAGTTGGTGAGTTCCCCATCTCTGGAGGTGTTCAAGGTCAGGCTGAACAGGGCTCTGAGCAACCTGGTGTAGCTGTAGATGTCTGTGTTCATTGCAGTTGGGCTCCGTGGCCTTTAAAGGTCCCTTCCATCTCAAATGGTTCTATGATTAACTATAAGCCTGGGAGTTTTATTTGGTTTAATTTAAAATAACACAGGTGAGCAGTTTCAGCTGCACACTGCTTCCGTACAGGAAGGACAGAAGACTGCCTACACCCACCACCTCCCTTGAGGTCTCAGTTCAGAATCTGCCCAGCCAGTGGCTGCATGCCATGGCAGTGAGTGGAACCCAAGGCTTTGGAGAAATTAGGGGCTTTGGGACTGGTAAAAGGGCTGCTAAAATGGTGCAGGGTTAGTCGTGGCACTGCTTATAGCACAGGTCAGCAGAGCGAGCTACCTGATGCCAGTGGCAACTGTGTGTCACTCCTGTTGCTGATCTTGCCTGTACCAGCAAGCTGTGGCAGATGTTGGGAGTTAGGTTTGTGACATCTACTCTCTGTTCTTTCTTCTCTGCACAGGTGACTGCAGCCCATGGATTGTGTCACTTGCTTGGCTACCAGCACAACACAAAGGCGGAATGGGAACAGGTAAAGCAGTGCCCTTGCCCTGGGAGGGTGCACAGTGCCCAAACTGTACCAAAGCTGAAAAGATTTCCCTTTATCACATCTCATGGAAGGGAGTGGCCCCAAGTCCTGTCCATCTCAGAATCACAGAACTGCAGGGGCTGGAAGGGACCTCTGGAGATCTTTTAGTCCAGTGTCCTGCTGAAGCAACCTCCCTGCAGGAGGTTGCACAGAGAAGTGTTTGAATGGGTTGGAATATCTCCAAAGGAGACTCCACCACCTTTCTGAACAGCCTGTTCCAGGGTTCTGCCATCATCCTGGACAGCCCTGACAAGCTGGGGCACATGTTGGTAAGGACACGGTGCTTGTCACACAGGTATTGTGTCCCTGCTCTGCTCTCTGACCTGTGGTATTCGGCAGCTGTTTCAGCCCCTGTGCCCTTCTACAGATGTACCAGAAGGAAGAGGAAATCCTGGAGGAGCTGAACCGTCTCACAGGCAGCAGCCTCCGGCCCCTCACTGCTGGCCTCTTCTGAGGGAGGGACTGGGCTGCCACCAGGCCACCTTGGACATGGCAGCACACCACCCTGGCCTCCTCATGCTACTGCTGCTGGGTTTGGCCACCCTGGCCTTCCCACCGCACGCTGCCGCCCAGTCGCTGCCTGCTGCCCTCCGTGCTGGCCATGCTGCCACCTCGCTGCCCACTGCCGCCGCCGCACCACGCACTCGGTGAGGAGCAGCCCCACCACCCTGACCCAGGCAGTGCTGTCTCCCTGGGTCTGAACCCCCTCCCTCACTACCTCTGCTCAGGCTGTGGGTCTGCTGATACGGTGACCAGCAGCACCACTGGGAAGTGATTTTGCAGGCACATCAGAAGCCTTGTTCACCCTGTTGTTTTGTTTGAGTCATGTCTGGGAGACAGCGCCATCATAGCCATAGTCATGATTTGGGTGCTGCCTGGGGTCTCCTTCTGTCTACCAACACCGGTTTTGCCTTTCTGGTGGCCTTTTCTAGTGGCAGAGAGCACTCACCCTTTCTGCCCTGTCCTTTCTCAAAGGGTCCTCCTTTGTCAGTATTTGTGTCACAGGAATTAGCCTGAGTGACCTGTCAGTCATTTCACCCCCCTCATTGCATACAGATTACTCTTCAGGGTGTGCAATATGCTCAGGGTATTTGCTCGGTGTCCCTTCTGTGTCCTCCCTTGCTGCAGGAGAGACCTGCCAAGAAGGCCTTCAACAACAGGAAAGCCCCTTGGTACCATCCTTCCTGTACTGCTAGGGCATGCCGTGGTCTCGTCTGCCTGTGCAGCATGCACTGCTCAGCCTTCCCCTGTTTACACTCCCATCCCCTGAATACCACAAACTCATGAAAGAGCAAGAGTTATCCTTGCATTAGAGTTGCACCACATATACATGAAGTAAAATGACCCGTGTAATTGCTGTGAATTCTTCCTGAAGTGGTGATGTTGCCTTGTTCTCTCTAGGTACCTTCTGTATGATGTAAATCCTCCTGAAGGCTTCAACCTTCGCAGAGATGTCTATATTCGTATTGCTTCACTTATGAAGACTTTGCTGAAAAGTGAAAATTGGGTGTTAGTTCTGCCACCCTGGGGACGTCTCTATCACTGGCAGAGCCCTGACATCCTTCAGGTCCGAATCCCTTGGTCTGAATTCTTTGATCTCCCAAGCCTTAATAGGAACATTCCTGTCATTGAATACGAGCAGTTCCTTGCAGGTAAAGTATGAAATAATGCATTCTACACTTGACTAAATCGTGGAAATGTTTTCTATAGAAGTTTGTTTTCACAAATGCTTTTATCCTCATTTATGTGAAATAAAAAATGATACAGATGGCAGGAGGAGAAATGAGAAGAAAACTTTTGGGGGCAGCTTGTTCCAGTGCTCTGTTACTCTGACAGTAAAGAATTTCCTTCTCATGTTCACGTGGAATTTCCTGTCTTCCTTTTCATCCCATCCCTTGTGTTGGTGGGCATCACAGAGAAAAAGAGCCCGGCTCCATCCTTCAGATGTTTAGAAGTGTTAGGAAGATCCTCTTGGTATTTTCTTCTCCAGGCTGGACAGCCCCAGCTCCCACAGCCTGTCCTCACACAGGTGCTCCAAATCCCAACCATCTTTGTGGCCCACCGCTGGATTCTCTGGGTCACCCTGTCTGCCTTGAACTGGGGAGCCCAGACCTGGACACAGCCTTCTAAATGTGGCCTCACCAGGGCACAGCAGAGAGGAAGTATCACTTCCCTTGACCTGCTGGCCATGCTCTCTGTAAAGCACCCCGTGGCACCATTGGCCTTCCTACCAGCAAGGGCACACTGCTGGTTCTTGGCCAACCTGTTGTCCACCAGGACACCCAGGTCGCTCTCTGCAGAGCACCTCTCCAGCAGGACAGCCCCTAACCTGTACAGATGCAAGCAGTTATTCCTCCACAGGTGCAAGACCTTACTCTTGCTCTTGTTGAATCCCATAGGGTTCCTCTCTGTCCAACTCTCCAGCTTGTCCAGGCCTTGCTGTATGGATGCACAGCCTTCTGCTGTTCCAACCACTCCTCCCAGCTTCATTTTCTTTAGAGTTTAATGCCACATAGAGTTAACCACCACACTGCAAAATCTGCAAGTGTCACAGAGCTCTTTGGCCCAGGACATAAAAACCACCGAATGTCACACCTCTGCAAAGGGCCCTGAAGGGATCCTTGGCCCCTCCCTTTCAGTAAAAAGAATTTTAAACCCTGAAATTTGAGGGAGGAAAGGTAGGAAGGGTTTGAGCTTCTGGAGGCTCTTCCTGTAGCAGCTACCCACAGCACTGAAAATCTCTGTGCTTCATACTTTCTCTGATCACGAAGGGAATCAAATTTTACATGAATCAAGAGGTAAAAATAATCTGCACATAAATGATAGAAAACAAAGATGCAAAGAAAGCATGTGCAGGGCTGAACAAAGGCTTGGAAGGAAGGCTTGGTTTTGTTCTACGTAAGATATGTTCTATCCAGTTTTAAAATTTACACTTTTGTGCTGATTAATTTCTGTTTGGCACATTAACTCACACATAGTTGAGTAGGAGTCGTCACATCCCTTGACCAGCGTTCAACTCACACTGAACTTCCTTCCCTTTTCAGTAGGGAAAAGAAGGAAGAGGGAGACTAGTATGATATTATTTCCTGTGGAATTTTAACTGCAAGTAATGCTAGTTTGCATAATGATTTTTTTTCATGCCCATTAATACTTTGCTTTGCCTTCTGCTTAGAATCAGGAGGGCCCTTTATTGAGCAGATTTATGTCCTGCAAGGCTATAAGGAAGGATGGAAAGAAGGAACATGGGAAGAAAAAATAGATGAGAGGCCTTGCATTGATCAGCTTATGTATTCCAAAGACAAGCATCAGTACTACAGGTAACGTCTAGCAATCATTTCACTGGTCTTCTACTTAGTAAGAAATTCACCCACTTTGATGGAACAAACTTGTGTGATTAGTGATAGTGTTTGTGAGCCTCTGAATGCATTGGATTCATTTTCTTTATAAAACTTGATCAATATCAAAATGTAGTAGAAAACACAATCTTAGAAAGTCATTATGTCATAAAAAATATTATAAAGGAACTGTCTGGTTTCTTTACATTATATATCACCTTCCTAGGGTGTACTGCTGGTTTATTTCATTCTGTGTGTGGCATTAACTTAAAACACAAGCCTGTGAACCAAAACCTTTTATTTTCTTTCAGAGGATGGTTTTGGGGTTATGAAGAAACGCGGGGACTGAATGTCTCTTGCTTATCTGTTCAAGGATCTGCCTCTGTTGTAGCCCCCATCCTTCTGAAGAATACCTCAGCACAGTGAGTTGCTTTGTGTTATTATGCCATGCCCTAGGAGCCCGTTGCTAGGTGGGAAGAGCAGGGAGAACTTAAAGGCTATGTCTCGTTGTGATGTTTCATCACTAAGCTACCACAGTCCATTAAAATCATTATGGAAGGAATTTATGCTCAAAAAACAACTAAGAGGAAATAGCCTTGAACTCTTCCTAATTCTTTCGCAGGTAGATAACTGTACTTGTTTTCCTCTTCTTCCTTTATGCTTCAATGTTGTGTTAAGAGGAGAGGGAACAGTGTAAATACAGCGCATCCCAAGTACTCATCTTGGATCAGAAGAGGCAGTGCCTGATCTCATGTGACATCAATCCCCGTTAGTATGAGCTGCGTTTATAGAAAGCACGTTTTGTCTTTCTGTTCTGAAAATGCAGAAATGCCACTAGAATGATCAGAGGAAAGGGAAACTCATATGAGAGATGAAGCATTCTTACGTTGTCCCAGTAGCAGAGCATTTCCAGATAGCTGTGACCCTGTAATAACTGAAGAAGTTATAGCAAAGCAAAAGCTACAGAGTAGAACAGGAAAAGGAAATGATCACTGTCTACCTGTCAGGGGAATAAATCTATAGGAGAACTACAAGCTGTGGAAGATGAAGTGTAGCTTTGCCATGAGAAAAAATAGAGCCAAATGTACGACATGAGTACTGTTTAATTGGAAATGAGATGAAAGTCCCCTCGGCAGAGCAGTGAGATCTGTGGTACCTCCTGCGGGGAGCAGAGGAAGCAGAATCCTGTTCTTCAGCAGTGGTGGTGTACTGTTTGTGGGGGTTAAACTGCAATATTTGCTGGTGAAAGCGGGAATCTGTATAAAGTAAACCATGAAAGTCTGTATAAGTAGTCCTGCAGTGAATTCTTCCTATGGTACCTATGATGGATCTCGTGTTGAGGAAAGTCAAGAGAAAAATTAGGTAGCAACGAGGGAAAATGGCTTTAAACTGGGAGAGATTGACTAGTGTCAATCTAGGATATTAGGATATTAGGAAGAAATTCATAACTGGTGGAGAGGTACTGGAACAGGTTGCTTAGGAAAGTTAAGGTTGGAGATGTTCAAGGCCAGGCTGGATGGGGTTTCGAGCAACCTGGTCTGGTGGAAGGTGTCCCTGCCTATGGCAGGGGTTGGAACTAGATGATCTCTGAGGTCCCTTCCAACCCAAAACATTCTATGATTCCATGATCAGATTTCATCTGCTGCTCTCTTTCATTAGCCAGTCATCAAACTTCTCTAACTCTTCAGAGTAGGCCTTTGAATTACTGCTCTGAACAATTTAACACGATCAGCAAGCTCATCACCCTAGTGTTCACAGCTTTCCTAGGCTTTTTGTTTGGGAATGTGGTGAAAAGCAGATTCCTTCCACTTGTGGCCTGCTACAATGAGAGCTGTACATCTCTTCCCATCTATAAACAGTTCTTTAATCTGTGCAATTTCCTGGCCTCCTGTGCCATAGTTGTTGTCTTAAAAAACTTGGATGAACACTCTCAGCAAGTCCCAGCACACAGTATCAGTGAGACTTATCTTACTTGCATGCTTACTTATTTATTTGGAGTACTCTGTTCAGAAAACTGTAGAACAATCCAATTTGGAAGGCACCCACAAGGATCATTGAATCTAACTGCTAACTTCACATAGAACTACCTCAAAAAATTAAACCCTGTGTCTGAAAGTGTTGTCCTTGACCTCCAGCAGATTGAGGCCATGGCGACTGTCCTGGGCAACCTGTTCCATGCCCACCACATTTTGGTGCAGAGCCTCTGGTCCTGTCTTTGTTACTGAAGATCAGAGATCATGTAATCGTCATAGATTTGTTTGAGTTGGAAGGAACCATGAAAGGCCAGTTAGTCCAACTTCCCTGCAGTGAACACAGACATCTACAGCTACATCAGGTCCAGCCTGACCTTGAATGTCTCCAGAGATGGGGAACTCACCAACTCTGGGCAACGTGTGGCAGTGCTTCAAGATCCTCATCGTAAAGCAAAACAAAACAGAACAGAACAAGCCTTTTCCTTATATCCAATTTAAATCTCCCCTCTTTCAGTTTGGAGCTGCTTCCCCTTGTCCCGTTACAATAGACCCTGCTGAAGACTCTGTCCCCTTCTTTCTTATAGCCCCCCGTCAGACATTAAAAGACCGCTCTCAGGTCTCCCCTCAGCCTTCTCTTCTCCATGCTGAACAGCCGCAGCCCTCTCAGCCTGTGCTCTTAGGCAAAGTGTTCCATCCCTACGAGCATTTCTGTGGCTCTTCCCCAGACATGCTCTAACAGATGCACATCTCTCCTGCACTGAGG